TCCTTAGGCAGCTTCTTTGTTTGCCTTATTTTCTAAGGCCGCCTCTGGTTACGTATATTTACGTAAGTCTTCCCATATCCAGAGAAGCCAGCTGTTATAAGTTATATAAGTTATTTCGTTGAGCATACATTTCACACGTGTTTGTAAGAAGTATGTAGGTTACAGTATTTATTCACGTTGTACATCTAACTTTCAAAACTTCTGCTGTAGTATATGAACGTCAATGATTTTTTTTTTGTTATATTGGTTCTACAACTAGGTGGTTAATATTTCGCATTCGAGAACATGCTAAGTTAAGATCAACGCCATTTTCAAGTATTAATAAATATGCGCAGAATGAATGCAATGAAGTAGAATAAGTAGAAGACCATTTAATTTCCTCGCTAGGGCCAAGAGTGAACAAGAACTGAGAGTTAAGGAAAGTCTACTGTTTAACTGACTGAAGCCGAAGCACAACAGGACGGTTCGCTCTATGTACCTATAACTGATTATATTTCTATGATACCAGTCTTTATTTTCTTTGATTTTAGTAGCTGAAAATCTGATAGTAACAATTAATCACATAAAAATATTTTTTGTTTGTTTGGCACAAAGCTACTAGTGGTGTGAAGGCTTATAATGCTAAAAACCAGGTTTCAATACTATTGATGGAAACAGAACAGATAGCCCATTGAGTATTTTTGTACCAAACAAACAAAAAATATTTTTTTTATGTGAATTAACTGTAAATATCAGATATTCTGCTACTAAACTTAGAGAAAATAAGGACTGGTATTATAGAAATAGTCCCCCGGTGGCACAGCGGTATGTCTGCGGACTTACAACGCTAGAATCCGGGTTTCGATACCCGTGGTGGGCAGAGCACACACAGATAGCCCATTGTGTAGCTTTGCGCTTAACTACAAACAAACAAATTATACAAATATAATCAGTTATAGGTACACAGAAAGAACCATCCTGTTCTGCTCGTCCAACTTCGGCTTCATACTTGCCGCTAGGGGGCTATAGTTTCTCGAGAAAATAGAAGTATCTGCATTATGGTGGTGTGAGGTTCAAGGTAGCGTAAAATGAATGAATAAAATGTGTTATCTGAAGTTTTAATTGGAGGCATATACAAATACTTCATACGAAGGGTCTGAAGTAAATTTCACACACCTCTGATTAAAACTACTCAACGGGATAACTAAGAAGAATGTGGAACAAAACTATATGCAGTAAAACGTGATTTTAAAATTGCTGTATTTTACAAGTTGCTAAACCCAGTTGATCCTTACTTGAAGAAATGTATTTTTGTTCACATGCCATAAATACACAACAAAATATTTTGTAAAACTCATCCAGTCAAGCATAAGCCTCCTGTTATTCTGTTTGTACAGTTGGAGGATACGAAGTAAAGGTAAAGCCAAAAAAAAGAACAAAAAACAGAAGTTCCAAATTCCTAATATTTCGGTGATTACTCACGTTGCTTAACCCTAGTCTATTTATTTGATAAACATAGCAAAACTGTATACGTAAAAATCACATTATTTTTTTAAACTGGAAAGTTTCTACTTTAACATCATTTTAATATCCTATATTTTGTATATTAACTCCTTAGACCCGAGCGGACGCTACCGTCGTCCGGCCGAAAATCCGTCCGATAAAATTTATGCCTCTTTGGCTGAAAATTAATCCAAATAGACTGGATATTTTATATGGTATGGTGATAATTATTAGGACATCATGAAAATAATTCCAGTAGAACGCGCATTGTTGGAACATTTTCAAAAACGAAACATCCACAAGGCGCAATACATGCATCCACTGGGCCCGGCATGGCCAGGTGGTTAGGGCGCTCGACTCGCAATCTGAGGGTCGCGGGTTCGAATCCCAGTGTGAGTTTAACAATTTAATCTTCTCATAAATTTAACTTGGTAAGTTTCAAGTTTCGATGATGACAAAAGAAAAAAAGTTATTTTCCAAATTTGTTTCGACATTTTAGTACATGCGTTTTAATAGTATAGGCTTGGATTTCTCAAAAGTATTAGCTTGAAGCCCCACCTAAGACCATAGACAACTTGGCTGCGGACTCCACCTACTAATTTAATAGAAATTTCAAATAACAGCCACTCTAAGGGACATTATTCTTTTTGCAATTTGTTATTTGAAAACCAAAAGAACAAAAAAAAACGTTATATAATGATATTTATCACAATAGATGTAATTTTCGCTAAAAACATTGCATTGACCGGTGTCAGAAAATTATTTGAGAGAACATTTCGGGAACCCCAGTTTA